TAGCTCGAGACTAGTTCTGATCGGGCGGCGCGGCGAGCCACCCATGCTCGTCGTCCGCAGGCCCGCGCTTACGGTGGCTGGAGATCGTTGTAACTTTATGCTTGGCATTTAAACTTACTATCACTCATTACCCATTACATCTATGTCTATAAAATAAACTCATGTTAGTTACGTACACTATTTATAACTCAAGAACGACTAAATTGATTTGAACGAAAATTGGTGGGGATGTAACTTAGAACCAGGAGACTGACATAGGATATTTTTTATCGAGTGCTTTTTTTTATTTAATGAAAATCATGAACGGGAACGGAAAAAACGGAATTGCGCGTACGAAATTGCGGGCTTATTTATGTTAGTACTTTAACTTATGTTAGTTACACTATTTATAACTCAAGAACGGTTAAATCGATTTGACCGAAAATTGGTAGAGAAGGAGTTTATAACCAGGAGACGAATCTAAGATATCCCGAATTTTTTATTAAAGGATTTCCTGAAAATCCTGCAAGAACGGGAAAAACGGCATTGCACGTACAAAGTCGCGGGTAGAAGCTACTATGTAATAGTAATAAATACACGTACCAGACTAGTCCAATCACGCCTACAGACACTTTATATTTCTTCCTAATCAGTAGAAATCACTTATTTTAATAAACTATTTACTAACTTATATTATCAGTTGATTTAAATGAAACTCCAGATTCGACAACCGTCTTCTCAAAAGAATTTACAACAACTCAAGCTAAACAAACATTTTTCAGTTATTTTAAGGACCCCAGCACTAAATTATAATACTACAAAAATAACCTTTAAGCTCTAAAACATAAGATTGATGCAGACTCTGGTGTAATTTATTACTTTTTTTGTGTCAAATCTCTATGTTGCTAAGGGTCTCTTAAGAACGTGTGGTATGATTGACAGATGTGTTCCTTGTATGCTCACTTAAGTTAAAATCTTTGGATATGGTCTATGGAATGTTATCTAAACCATGTCGCGCCGATACACAGGGGCCGACTTACGCTTAGTTCGATTACTGGGAACTATGATATTTTTGCCGTACTCTCAAACGTAGGTACCATAATGTGAAAGTATGGTCTCGGGCCTGTATCTATAAAAACTTTAAAAAGCAGCAAGTAACAATGCATAGGAGTAGTTTTAAGACTCAATGCTGGATATCTTTCGGGGTGTGTCGGGGATCGTGTCACGATCTCCGGCCACCGTAAGCACGGGCCTGCCAGACCAGCCTGCCGACCACAACCAGGGTGCTTACTCTTGAAACCAATCTCAATGTCAATGCAATTTCAATCCAATAAAATCTCAATAATTATCCAATGTCAAAACTATACAACCCCTACCGTAGCAGTTAAAGTAGCATTTAGAGTACGGAATATAAAACCAAACTCAATACCATTAAGTTCATGAAATATCTACGCAATACGGATGCAAAAGGCGCTAGTGTTAAAAGTCAAGAGTACGAAATTTCACAATGTCAATGTCGATCGATCGGAATTGGATTCAAGAGTAAGCACCCAGACCCGAGTGTACGGCGCGTCGCGTTCCGCGCGCGCCTCAACGTGTCATCAGACCACCACCGATGGGGTCCAGCAGGGCTAATGCCGACACGGATCCGGAGGACTTAACGAGTTGCCGGGGATCCAGCTCGAAGTGCAAGTAGAAATGGGGTGGTTTTTAGTCAGTAAGAGTCTGACACTCTCTCACACCTCAGTTAAGCGGGAGAAGTCATTCGATGATTCTATACCCTTAAAAAATGCACAATATCTTAATGTCATTCGTAAAGGCAGTATTTTTTGTGTAATAGATTAGAATTCAGTAATTCATTGCGTTATACACGCATGGTTTAATACGTGATAAATGGATACAAGAAATAAATTACTCACTTAAGCTTTATTACAAAACAGTTTATAATTATACATATATCCGTTGACGAATATTATTAGAATCATAAGTTTCTCGACTCTTGTTCCTACTCGTCCTTCATTATGAACGTGGCTAAAGTGACGTTTGTGCATGACGCCGTAAGAATGTCTAATCTTTGTTATGGCTTATACGTAATAAACACTTGAAAATATTTCTGTCATGAAGCACTCACACAAATATACAATACTTTGCTAAACAACGGCCCCTTTATATTATAAACAACCTAAATATAATGTTATCTAAGATTGGTTATGAATTCTCAGCACCGCACATTGGCCACGCATAAATAAGTTCTCGTTTTTAATTTCATGGGATTCCCCGCTTTGCTAATAAAGCGCGAATTTTAAGTTCTGCTGTTGGTCCTATGTAAGTGCTTCATTGTTTATTATTTTTATTCGTTAAATGGGGTAGTTGCCAGGATATGTTAATAATGAATCTAATTAGTCCGTCAGTTAGATAATAAAACAATATTAGACACGTACCTATTGTTTTTTTCTGGTATAAAGTTACAATACTTACATAAATGGAGTGAAGTTTAGGAGTGGGATGAATAATATAATAGGAATTAATATATTGTCGAAAATGTTTAATTTTGACACAAAAGTAAAAATACTTTGTTTTAAATTAAACTACCAGACGGACAACAAAATAAAATTTTGGAAACTAAACCCTATTCAACTTTTTTTTTTCCTCTTTGGCAACTGAGTCTCCAAATCGGTGTTGTCGACTATACTGCCAGTGTCGAGTGGTGACGGCAAATTATTCAACTTAATACAACAAGTGTGTACAGGTCTCCTTGTCAACCTTTGTAGTGCAGAGATGAAAGTAGCAGGTGATTATGAAGTAACCTTTATAAATAGGCAATGTATGTACTAGTGTTTACAGAAACGCTTTGAAGTAAGTAAAAGTATAATCAATAAATCATACTAAATAATTAATCGACTTTAGAAATTACCATTCATTATTATATCAGTCGCAAATTGTTCAATGCTGATCTTAGGGCTCCCGTAGCGACTGTCGGTCCACATCAGCCTGTTGAAATTACGATCACATCATATACATATATAGCGTCAGGAAACTGTAAAACGACCCTAACTTGCGGTATGTTTCACAGCGTTCGGCGTCCTAGTGCGCCATCATCAGTTAATTGTATGACTTCTATATTCAGAAGTTATACCATGTTTCACGGCTTTGGTTTTCTTTCAGTATTTTTTAATGTATTGTAATGTACCCTGTAAACGAGCAGACAGACCTGATGGTAAGCATCAACGCTGCCCATGGATACCCACTCCAAAACCCAATCCTTAGGCGTCACAAGTGCGTTACAAGCCTTTTCAGAATTAGGAATGTGAAGATTGTTGGAGATGTCAGGATTCGGGAGATTGAGTAAGGGGGTAATTGGGCTTTCGGTAACCTCGCTCACACAACATAGGCATAATTTCACGTCGGTTTTCTGTGAGACCGTGGTATCACTTCTGTCGAGCTGGTCCATTCGTGTCAAGGCGTGGCTGTCCCATACTTAAACTTACACACACACTTGTTTGGGGTCAACCTCACGTAAAAGAGACTCTTAGAGCTGGTGAAAAGCTATTGGACTTTGTGTATGTGTGTACATACACATTCTCTCACCTCTTTGATTTGACCTCATTTGACCTTAACGTGTACAAGGTTACACGTTAGCCACCATGTCGCTTAGCGGAGGATATGCCTCAACAGTTTCTGTCGGCAGTCAAAAACGTGACGTTATGATTTGTCATTTTACTGTCTATAAACACTAAAATCTGCTACCCATTTTTGTTTCCTCATATTATATCAGCTAAATTTAGACCAATATTATTATCTACAATTTAATCAAACAAGAGTGTTAACGAAAATATTTTATTTCATATTTACAACTTAAATTAACAAAATTAATTATAGATCATTATTTTTTTCATAATAAATATTAACCATGGCCTTCGTTGGTTTTGTACAAATTACAATTTATTCTATGAGCATTAAAAAGTAATTTCATTTGCATGTTGTTGGTGTTCAGGATGACTAAGCAATATTTGACGGAACTGCGTTGCGATAAAAGATTAATATTATATTTGAGCATTAAAAGGAATAATAAAAATTATAATACTAAGTACGTGCTGCAAGATAAGTAATCAACTTATGTTGTTGATAAGACATAGTCATCCAATTACGACCGGATATGAATAAAATTCTGTAAAAAATTCACAAAACACTAAGTTCATACAGTTTTATTTGCAATTCTATCATTTAACTGATATTAATAATTCTTATACAACTGTAGAATACGTAATCAACTAATTCTTTTGTTCATTTTATTTTTATCTGCTCAGACAACACGTGAAGTCCATTTCTGCCTTATCACAATTAAAAAGGTACTTTTTAGTACCTATTCATACCAAAATTATCACTTGTAATCTCAGATTAATTATAGATTGTAAAAAATGTCGCGCTGCGAACAAAACTATCCAATTTCCACTCTATTTAAAAAAAAAACATTGACTTTGAGCAAACAAATCATAGGTAATCGTGGACTAATAGTTATTGGAAAGAAAAACGTAATTAATATTTGTCACAAATAGGCCTTCAAGCTTCTATTCTTCTTAAGCTTATACTAACACTTCTCACTGCTCACATTCACTGGATACAATAATAAAAGAAGTCGGTTAATTATAAACTTCATGTCATACAAAAATCATTAAATAAGTACTATTTTTATTTAATCTTAACTCTAATTTCAGGAAAGATTTTACTAGGTAGATTTAGACTGTGGTTGGCTATTATCGAGAACTATATACTGGGAACTAAAGCGATGCGATCAAACAGAACTTCTATCATGAAAACACCAGATGCTATGTACAAACTATCGAACCAATACTTTTGATAACTTAAGTAAATTATTCCCGACCATTAAAGTTAATGTTAAACTATAAATTACATGGTAGAGAGGCACAACAAACAATACGAGAAACACAAAACACTCGTCATAAACTACAGATCCCAAAATAGTTGAACAGCATGTATATCCCAAGGTCAAATGTATTTCTTCAAAACTCGTACTTGCCGATGTAACCTCTACAGTTAGGACAGTAGTGGTCGATGTTCATACAGCTTGGAGTACAGTAAGGTATGCACATGCAAGGCCAGCACCTGGAAAATACAGAAGGATATTATTAGTGCATCGCTTTATAGAATTAGGTTAGTATTTGTTGGTACATATCAACACGTAGTCTGATCTACAAACTATAGTTGAAGAGTATCAAGTACGACAAAAGGTCTCTTAGTTCCGAAATAATTTGAAAAGATGAAAGAAGACGTATTTAATCAGTGATAAAGCATAATACAACCATGTGTTAAGCTTGTGCTAAAATGGGGACTACTTCATTGAATGCCTTAAACGATAGGTAGCATCTTGAAAATAGTATTTAAATTATGTCCCAGAGAAAGCATCCGATACTTTTGTCGGACTTTGTTTCTAACTCACCCGATAATAAAAAGACAGAAGGCCCATAAATGTGTTCGAGCAGTTGGTCGCATTTCCGTCGTTGTGATGATCTGGTGCCTGCAGGATTGGCAGACAACCAATGCTGGCTCAGTACCGACAGGCTGACCAATCAGCACCGTGTCTCCACTTGCAGTCACATAGTGGCCTGCCACTGGCTGTACGTGAATCACATTCACCTGGATCGGTGTGGGCTCCTGACCTGGGTATGGTGGTGGTGGTTGACTTTGCATTGTTTCTGGAAAATTCAAGGTGTTGTGTTATTTCATTACTGGTCAGTGGTTTGTGGTTATACTTGAATACAGAGTAGGAGACATGAAACCATGTAAAATTAGTCTGTTGATTAAATGCTTCCCATTACACTAATTAGACTACACCAATATGGCCGACCAAGCAAAATTTATTTTTGAAATACACAAAACATATAATGCTTGCGGCATTAAGTCCACCTTATGTACACTTTGTGCATATAGCGTTAATAAATAAATAAATAAAATGCTAAGAAAGGTTTGATAAATCATTATAATTATACATAGATAGATAAGTCACACGTCATTACAACATATTTAAGCTTATCGATTAAGAAAATTTATTCTGATGAAATAATATGTTATTATAAAATTGTTGATTTAGGAAAAGAGATCTAGTTGTAAAGCGTTTAAATATAATTTACAACAAACTTTTTTCAAATATCCTTTTTAGGGAAGTCAAATGTGTTTTTTTTTAGTTTTGCTTCTAGCAATAAAAGTAATTCCTAAGATTGGAACTCCAAATAAAAAGTCTTTCAATCAAAGGATAATTAACCATATAACCACGTTACACGTACAATAAACCATAATATAATACTCACATTTTGATTGCAATTCCGTATGAATATTAGTCTCGAAAGCCGAACTTCTTCAAAAAATTCAACACGTTTCAATAAAATCTATTCCTCTATTTCAACACTGCTCACTTAAACAGTAAACATACAAATATTTGGCGACGATGAAACAAAAATTGTGTGGACACTATCTGTTGATAACAATGACATTTATCAAGTATAGCTGAAGGGATTTGTTGATAACGCCACAGATAGCATTGCCACATTAGCTCAGCCTAGATAATATGCTAATCATTGTTCAATTGACAAACAACACCTGCGCTAGTTATTGCTTGTAGCATCACAACTTCATGTCTAATCAAAAAATAAGAACAATTATCATAAGAGCATAACAGCACGCCCTTTAGCCCCAAAGCGACAGTCAGAGGTGCACATTACGACTATGTTACATCACTGTACAATGCAACACCAACTTTTCACTATTTATGAGTCCCATGTAATGGGAGGTGAGCCTATTTCCATATACCGGGCCAGACTCCGTGCTACTACTGAGATTTTTTTTAAAACCTGTACCTACTGAAATATTTTCAGCAGTCGCACTTACGACCACTCGGCCAACGAGGCAGCAAGCATTGGAATTATTTTAGTATTGTAAGAAATACTAATAATTACCTCTACATTATACGGTTTATGCACGAAACTGTGAGAGAGTGCTCGACTAGGATCAAGCTTAGACCGGGACTCAATTAATCAAGCATAGTTATTCTAGTGCACAAAGAGAAAACAGCATTATACAATAAAGTTTTCATTAGTTATAAATTTCTTTCAAATACAGGTAATTTTTAACCATTCTGACTCCCAGGCTCTGAGTAATCAAAATCCCTATATATTAACGCACATAATTATGGCTAAAATAACACGTAGTCTTAATTCTAACAATAGCATAAGGCAATTAACTTGACCTGACAGTTAACGAACGAAAAACTAATTTTATGAATCAACAATGTGTAAGTATTGTACGTAAATCCGTTTCTAGTGAAACGGTGAAGAACAATTGTGCAATATACATAGGAATGTCAACCTTATGAGTCAATGGATTTACGGATACATTTCATATACCTACATATGCATCGATATGAACAAATTTGTTTTCATATCTTCAACTCTTCACAGATGTTCATTACGTCAGCAAATAATATTTATTATGGTACTTAATAAATACCTAATAGCTATATGTATACGTGTACCTAATCTAATGGTATGTTTTTTGTAACAACGTCACCTTAACACGTGTTTGATGTTTTCGTTTAAGTGCTCATTTTTAAGACAACCAAATTTAAATTTGGTTTTTCACAAAAACGGTATCTAGTATAAAATTATACTTAAAGTTGGTACATTCTTTTTTCATGGGGTCTCATGGGGGTCATGGGCGGATTTTTCTGGACATGATTGACAGAAATGTCACTGAAGAAATACGTATTACTTAATTTACATACCTTGTATAGACTAGGTTTGCCATTCTCTAGATCAAGATACATGTATTGCACTTGTTCCAAATTAAGACACAAACGCCTTCTAAAGGGGGAAATCATCCAATCCTCTCGCGTTGAGTGAAGCGAAAGGAATTGTCAGCCTCTAACTGATTTTTTTACGAAATAAGACGGTAAACGAGCTGACTGATCACCCGCTGGTAAGCTATCAGCGTCGCCCATGGACACCCGAAACACGTGACAAGTGCGTTACCGGCCTTTTGGGGATTAGGAATTTGAGGATTATTGGGGATCGGTGTATTGGAGATATTGGGGAGGGAGGTATTTGGGCTTCCGGTAACCTCATTCACGCGAAAAAATACGACAAAAGTGTTGTTCCCTACTTTGAGTCAGAGCCCGGCAACCTGTTAAGTCTTCTACGGCTCCGGAAGATGCAAGTTAAGTAATGAACATTGATTTTGTATGAAAGGGCATTATCATATAATTATCAAGAGCAACCAATTCACTACGTTGTATGTACCTACGTGTATTAAATGAAGCTTCAGTCTGCATGATTCATGAAGATGAGGTGTCATTCTTTGAGTACGTACTTCAAATTTTGTAACTGATTGTTCTGGTGATTCACAGCTTCCAATCCATTGATAAGATTGATAAGACAAAGAGAAAAACTATTACTTAATACATCGGATCAATGAACGTGTTTTTTTTTGCAATGTAATGTAATTTTATACGATTTGCATCTATTGTGATTCGATGGAAATATACGACTTATCATTTGAATTTAACTTAAGCAATAGGCGTCGCCAGAAACGCCACTAGCGTTACAAGTGCGTTACCGGTCTTTTGGGGATTAGAATTTGAGGGTTGTTGGGGATTCAAGGATTGGAATGATTGGAGAAGAGGGATTGGGCCTCCGGTAAGTTCACTCACACGACTAAACACAACGCAAGCATTGATTCACGTCGGATTTCTGTGAGGCCGTGGTATCACTCCGGTCGAGCCAGCCCATTCGTGCCGATGCATGGTTCTCCCACACTTAATTTAAGATGTTTTGCATTACTCTCCGTATGTCTACGAGTGTCAGTATCGGTGAAAGAGAATATCAGGAAATGAAGTTGGTAACATTCATTTATTAAAATATGTTCGCCTCATCATTGTATTGCTTGTCGTATTATTATATAGTTTTATCTCCTTTTTTCACACACACAAAACAGCCAGACTCAGTACAACAATTTGTGGATGCCATAAACAATTGTTACAAGTAGGAATCATCCAGCCAATCATTCGCGCCGTCAAATTACTGAAATGAAGAGTGTTAAGGAGATATATAAGAAAATATATAAATCTCAATTAATAAAATTGTTTTGTCTTCATGAAAATACCCAAGTCAATTGTTACATTGAAGCTAATCTGTGTTACATGTACCAGTTATGTCATCGTTTAAAATAAACTTGATGAATGTTTTATTTTATTATGTAAACGTTGATATATAAACATGATCTTTTAAAGATTATTATATTGCTTTTATGCAACGATCTCATTGGCCGAGTGGTCGGAAGTGCGACTGCTGGGCCCTTGCCCAGCAGTCGCCCCCGAGACCCCTTAATCTCGGGTTCGACTCCCGATTCGGGCAAAGTATTACTGGGTGTTTTTAAAAAAAAATCAGTAGTAGCACGGTGTCTTGAATTGTGCCCGGTATATGTCAATAGGCTCATTACATAGGACTCATAACATAGATTGTGAAAAGTGGGTGTGACATTGTACAGTGACATTAAGTGCACCTCTGCCTACTCCTTCGGGGATAAAAGGCGTGATTTTATGTTGTGTAACCTTACAAAGAGTTTTTGGCTGTAATTAAAACTCAAAATATACAATTCCATAAACCAATTTATACATAATCGCCTGTTGTGTTCAGATAATTCATTTCCTTTTATTTATTGTGTGCTGTGTTTCCCCTGTTTATCTATTTTGATAATGGAACATGTTATGCCTATCTTTTCATTGTAATACAAAATCTATAATGGATAATAAGTTAAATAAATTAAAAGTGGGTAATATATGGTCGAGCCTTAGATTATAAATGTCTAGATAGACCATCACTATACAATAGCAACAAAGATGATGTTGCGAAATTTCTTGCATGTGTGCGTGCAGCTTGTTGTTTACACGGTACAAAAATGATACCAGCTATGACAAAAAATCTCCCATCAAATTTATATATAATTTCATTCATAATTCACAAGCAAGTGAGGCTTTTTTAATTTTTCCTCTTTATGAGACTCATGAGAGGGGAATATTGAAAATTAAATTGGCAAACACTGATAAAATATGGCGGCAATTAGTTAGGTCAAAAAAACCGACTTCAAAAACCAAAAACTAATAACAAACAAAAAGTCAATACTAAAAAGCAAAAAATAACTATTATTAATACTGATAGGTTACCCACCCACTGATTGGTAAGAAGTCGGTGCCATAAGTTCCATACAAAATTATTCATTAAAACCTTAATACGTATCTAATTCACAATTTTGTGGACATTAAGTTATATCATTATGATATGAGCTTATGGCACCGACTTCTAACCTATCAGTGGGTGGGTAACCTATCAGTATTAATAATAGTTATTTTTTGCTTTTTAGTATTGACTTTTTGTTTGTTATTAGTTTTTGGTTTTTGAAGTCGGTTTTTTAAACGCAGTTTTTATTTTATTATTTTACCATTTTCAGTGTAAAGCTACATATACACGTTTTGTTACTTATAATATACATAGGTGCAAAGTCCTCATCAATACAAATTAATCAAGCCCAAACTCAAGGTAGTTCCTGTATATCGTTGAGGAGTTCCCTTAACAATTACACTTCTTCATCATCAGACCCTTAATGACAGCACCACTCTATCTAGGTGTAAAGTCCTCATCAATACAAATTAATCGAGCCCAAACACAAGGTAGTTAATATAAACCGCTGAGGAGTTCCCTCGACTGTCTGTCGACTCCATCATCAGGTCGACTTCAGACCCTTATCAAATTGTAGTGTTTAAAATTCGTAATTGAAAAACATAATAGACGCATTACTCCCCCATAGAATTTTCGAAAGTTCCCCTCGGTTTCCCTAGGATCCCATCATCAGATCCTGACTTCATGGAAATGGGACCATCTCGGGAGTATACCCTTTCAAACAAAACAAAAATTTTCGAAATCGGTCCACAAACGGCGGAGTACTGCGCGAACAAACAAAAAAAAAAAAAAACAATCAGCCGAACATAGTACCTCCTCCTTTTTTTGAAGTCGGTAAAAATCATATATCATATCATAAAAATAATATCATAAAATGAATAATATCATTTTTAATTACTTAATGATGGATAAGCTTAAGATCTGTTTAATACTTCTTATCCGTCATTTATAATTTTAGCACAATTTTACAAATTTATTTTTTAGCGTGCATGCACGTAGTGACGCCTAGGTGACACGATTGGTACTACTTGACGGGAAAGTGCATTGCAGTGAACAGTTAACTGAAAATTATTGAAACGCTTTTCACTTTTCACTCTATTTAGACATTATATAACCAAAGGGGCTTATTGCTGTACACCATACAACCAGAATCCGTACGATAACGTGATCTCGAAACTGAGTAATCACTAAAATCCATTATACCTATTCCACCTACTGTTGCACATCTCTGCATCACCCCATGGTTGACTGTTAGAGAATGCCACCCGGCATTAAGTCCGCCATCGTATGTTTAATATACAGAAGTGTTGATGAATAAAATCAAATACCTAAGTTGCATTTTATATGAGAACCTTTACATTTTTGTGCTTATGATATTAGTGGCTCTCGATTTTTTTTTTATTTATGAAAAATACACTCACAGTATATAATAATAGAAAAAGATACCTACTGTACTCTGTATATTCAGATCAGAGGTACTGAGGTACATAAATACTGCATATTTCAATTGGAATTTCTAACTGCAATTTTTCGACAGGAGAAATAACAAGAAATCATATTTGTTTTTTATTTTATAATTGTATCACTTCACATATAGAAAGACTTAAAAAATGATTATATAAATTAAAATTAAAAAAAGAAAAAATATTCCATATTGTTACTTAAGGTTAATACAGGTCACACAATTTAGATTAACAAAAGGTAGTATGATAACACGGTATTATCAGCTATAGCCAAACGCACTACTGTAATATATTATCAATATGAATCGATAAATCGGTAAATCTATCATAGATTACATAAATCTAGTAGAGACATCGACAATCGTGATTCTAGAAGATTCGAGAAACTTCCTTCTATGCGGAATACCTATCTTTATTCTGTCTTTTAATGCTTGATAATCTACAATATCAAACTAGAATTTTGTCAAACTTGAAAGAATAAAGTAATGACAGAGGGAAACTAAAGAATAAAGTAATATAGTGTGGAAATAAAGTGCTGGAGAGCCATGCTTCTGGCTGTATACCACGGCCTCACAGAAAACCAACGTGAAACAACGCTTGCGGTGTGTTTCATCATGTGAGTGAGGTAACCGGAGCCCCCCCCCCCCCCCTCCCGAGTCTCAGTCCTCAAATTCCCAATTCCCATAAGGCCGGTAATGCACTTGTAACACTTGTTTCAGATGTCCACGAGCGGCGCCGATTGCTTACCATCAGGCGACCCGCATGCCCGTTTACCGTCTAAAAAAAAATTTACCAAGTGTGTGTGAAACACGATTACATGTCTTATGTTTTCACATCTCTAACAATGGGTTTAACATTATATAATTGGAAAAAGCAGGTAAACTCTAAATCAATTTATCCGCTATCAAAAAATTAATGATGTAACATTACTTAATCAAAAAGTTTTAAACGTACTGTCGATTCTACATATTTTTAATCTACATCTGCGTATCAGGTTTTCGCACATCGAGATAACAAATGAATTAACGTACTTACATACATAACTTTGTTTCATGGAAAATGTGCGTCATGAAACAACCTCATACTATTTATAATATTTCACACTATATTCCCCAAAACACTAGGTAAAAATCAGAATACTAAATGTACATAGACTTTTTCTACAAAGGAGTTTGTACCAAGACAGGTAAAAATAAGTTAAGTTTAGGTATCCATAGTTAAGCTACTACTTAAGATGTGTAACAGCATGTTAAAGGTATTATACACATAACATAACATCACGCCCATTATTCCGAAACAGAGGTGCACAATACGGCACTGAATGCCACTGCATAATGTAAAACCCACTTTTCACTATTTATGTTATGAGTCCCATGTAATAGGAGCCCTATATACAGGGCACAATTTCAGACTCCGTGCTTACTACTGTGATTAAAAAAAAACTCAGCAATACTTTGCACGATCCGGCAATCGAACCTGAGACCCTTTGCCTGGCAGTCGCTCTTGCAACCACTCGGACAACGAGGCACAATTAATATAGTGTGTTAGTACATAATAATAAAACTAGAAATAAATATCTCAATAATACTTATTCAACAATCAAATAGATTCCCAAATCCGAGCTTTATTTCATTTGACTAGACTGGACTGACGTAGCACATTAAAATTATCAGATAAATAAAATTGCTTAGCATTGTACTGTTTAATATCAATAAATACGTTAATAATGTATCGTTTTCCTTAAACAAACATACAACAACTGACGTCTTTTATTTATCCGATTACCGAAGTAAAAATATTTTTATTTTGCGTACAGAACTAGGCGATGAATATTGCACATTGACATTTAGAAAAGATAATGAGCCAACAGAGGTTGCTTATAGGACGACGTGCTCCATCGTAGACCGCATCATCGCTTACCATTGGCCCATCAAATAAAAAAAGGAAAGTAGCTGCGTATGCCATGAGATTCTGGTGCGCTCATGGGATTCTGATACTAAAACTACTTTTTTAAACTAGTTTTTTTTTTACTACCAATTCATGTTATCATTTACTATGTTTTCAAACTTTAGATCCGTCGTGAATTTGACTATGAATGGTCTACACGTATATGAAGTACTGGCAGCCAAAATTCAAAAATTCAAAATTCAACGTTCATGGGCCGACGTTTGACCTTTGTCTCGCCTGGTGGTAAGCGATGATGCGATCTACGATGGAGCTGTTTCTAAATGTCTCTAATGATATCAGTCAATATGCCTGCTGTTTCCTAAAGGATAAGTAAGATTCACGTTATTAATCTTATTGTCACAGTTAAATTTATGTGATCTATGAAATAAATTCTAGATTTCGTGGTATCGTGATCTAAATAGGTATTACTGACTGTTTAATTACTGTTTAATGCGGTTACTCGACTAATTTCGAACCATGACAGGGGTTCATAATCATGACCAGCTTGTAGTATGCTGCGCGACGCTCACAGCATCGGCTATATAAGTACCTACTTACTTCCTTTTTTAAAAACTTAAGTACAAGCTTTATCAGGCAGTCATATTTGTAATATTTTTTTATAGTATGTAGCCATGTTTTCACATCAAACCTCTTGGATCTCCTTAACTTATCTCATTACTTGTAATTTCGACATTATTATAACCTAACACTAGGTTGCTTATCGAAGTGATTGAACCTTCGTTATTGACGATATCGCTTTCATTAGCACATCATCACCGATAAGGTAGTTTTTATTGTTCGTCATAAGCAGATAGGAAATAAAAACATGATATTGTCTTATATTTTATTTATTAAAGCTCAGTATAGATTACCATCATATTTTATGCAACTTAAAATAAAATTATTAAAATTTAACACACATACATATATACATACATACATTGCATTGCATGGTAAGAGCCTTTATGGACAGAAAATAGCTGAAGTATTGTTTTGGGGTCATTATCCTTTTGACAGTGACATACGTGACACATCAGTCAAAATTGTCATTTCACAGAGATTCAAAACGATTGTGAAAAACAATTGACAATCATGTGTCTTATTAATTTGACAGTACTGAATCAAAACTATACATGAATACATAGTTCGACCAGCATTAAAAGAATTTGGGAAGAAGTTTTTTTTAATAATAGTTACGTACTTTACGAAATCTTTCAAAGTCAAACAAAGTCAAAGTGATTTATTTCAATTAGACCAGGTAGGCACTTTATCAGTACCAGTTTAAGCAGTCACATTTAGTCTTTAAATATTACTACCACACTTCATCTCCATTTCCTTCCACATAGCTTTACAAAAAGCCCTTTCTAATACATTCTTATCATAGGCGTTATCATAATTCTATGCACTTCTTACAACAAATATTAGGCAAAGAACACATAGATTCTATTTCACAAACAGCAACTTCACTCGGCTGAAACATTTGCGCAACATTGGTAAAATGTTTCATCAGCTTTGTCAAAACCTAGCGTTGTTTTATTCCACGTATGTAATAAATAGGTGATAACACTATCTATCAGCTATTTTTCATATAAATTAGTCCTATACATATGTTCAGCCAGGTCTTAGTTCTTGTAGCTTCCGATGTAGGCGTTGCAGTTTGGACAATAATGATCAGCATTCTGGCAACTGGAAAGTAAATACGGCAGGCACACCAAAGGCCAGAATCTGGAAAAAGCAAAGCAATTGTTTATCAAATAGAATGTACTGGACAGGGACACTTTTTGATAACATACCTACTTGTATTTTATTTTAATCAATTATGTGATTAGGATAATGTACAAAAAGTACATTTACTTTGATTAGATGACGATTTTTGATATTGGGCTATAAACTCGATTCGATTTTGTTACTTATGCTCTTTAGTGTAGCGCTCAATTTCATTAGCATAGGAATGTAACACACAAAACTTGTTCTAAAATAATAGAAACTATTCTAATAATGATACTTACACGATACAAAGTCCGAGAGCAAACAAGTGGGTTTTAGAAGAGGTGATGTGTTCCACCCTTGTGACTATCTCCACTCTGCAAGATGGGCAGGTGATCGTGCTGGGCTTGGGGCCCATAGCCCGATTACCGACTAGGACTGGAACGACATTAGCGCCCGTAGTCGGTTGGTATGCGACTCCGGTTGGTTGTACAGGAGGGTATGGGTGTACCACAGTGGGTGGTGACTCTGCTGGTGTGTCTGAGTACGGTGGAGGCATACCCTGGCCTTTGGCTGTACAGTCAGCATCAAAAGTTGATGACTACATTTAAATTTTCATAATCGCTGTACACGGTATTATACCTAAATCGCTCAACATGACAAGCGCCAGAAATGAATGATTATCATAAAAGGGCATAAGTAGGTGACCATACTTTTCAAAAGTCGCTAAACAAAGTTATAGTAAAAAAAGCAAAACATTCTTCGTCTCTAAAGTTACTGAACAAATTTTAGACAAAAATAGCATACTATCGTTTATCTCTAAAGTCCGTGAACAAATTGAAATGACATTTTGTGTTTAATATGTGTATGTATTTTTTTCGGCAGGTGTGTGTTTGGTATTCATATAAGGTAGACACATGCACATGTTAATCACCACCCTTTTATTTATTATCAACAAAATTAAATAAAATGGTTCGATAAATCAATTCAGATAATTATTATTTGTTTTAATCAACACAATCATAATAAAATAATTTAAACTTTTATAATCAAATCAATGTTTTATAAAAAAAACAAGGTATGATTTTTTAAAAATTAACTAAAATCATGATTATACTTGAACTACTTAAAATTAAAACCTAGTGTCCCCCATTGGCATCGATGACATTTTGGAGACGTTCTCGCATGGAGTTTACCATATTTGCACAAGTATCTCGTCCCCTAAAATTTTCCCAGATTTTTATGGCGTGATTTAGTCTCGCAATATCACTATTCTGTGACGTTCATGTGCAGTAATTTGAAGATTAAATAGTATTATAATGTTTATTTGTTACCAAAGCGCAATTGATAACTAATACAATATTTATAGATTAAAAATAATTAAAACCACAATTTTTTGTTATTGGATAAGCTGGTAAACGAGCAGACGGATCACCTGATGGTAAGCAATCGGCGTCGCCCATGGACACACGCAACACCAGAGGCGTTACAAGTGCGTTACTGGCCTTCTGGATTAGGAAATTGAGGATTGTTGAGGATTCAGGGATTGGGGAAGGGGGGGGGGGGAATTGGGCCTCCGGTAAACGTCACGTCGGTTTTCTGTGAGGCCATGGTATCAAAATGGTGGCTTAACTCGTCGAGTACCGGTTTTACAGACACAATTAAAGAACAATAGGTCGCGGTCACCGGTGACCGCTTGGTATTTGACAGTTTAAAATGGTCTACATCCGATACAAAGTGATAATTAAGTAGAAATATTATTTTTACATTCAAGTGTAAACAATTTTTCAAATACCCACAACCGTTTCCCAAAGAATTGGGTAGTTTCCTGGGTCAAAAATAAATTATTTAGATTTTTCAGTTCAATTAAATATTGAAAAATAGTTACACTTTCATTCATTGATTTGCCGATATACTTAATTTTCGATTTATTCTCGCATTTTCTTTAGATATAAGTGTGCTGTTTGACGCGAAAATATGATGACGTCATAAGCTAGTATTTCGTACAAAATTCATAGAACAGTATCGTTTTTGACGTTTCGATAAAAGTATTGAATTTGACTAGTTGTCAACTACCGTATTGAATTGAAACGGAATTGGTGGTAATTTTGAAAATGAGTCTTAAATGTATACAGATTAGGTTCTAATTAAATCGTAACTATAGGAATCATAAACTAAGTCGACGGTATGAATTTGAACAGAATCTGCGTGATTTTTGAAAATGAGTCTTATTGCTTTACGAATAAGGTTACAATTCAATCGAACTAAAAAAATAAATAATTACACGATGGTATAAATTCAAACAGAATCTGCGTGATTTTTGATAGTCAAATATGATAGCAACATTGTCAACGTTTTTTAGTTTGCAGTTCAGCTACTTTTGATAGTATAAATTTACACGCTACAAATCCGAAACAAAGTAATGTTCAGTAACTTTTGTTATTAATTATGTTAAGTTATTTTTGGACGTTGCTGTGATTGCACTGGATAACCAAAACAAGCATTTTATATTGTTCAGTGACTTTTGATATTATAACGATCAGCAATTTTTGACAAAATGGTGTTCAGTGACCTTTGACGAGTAGTGTTCAGTTCATTTTGAACTTTAAAGATGTTCATTCAATACTAGCGCCCTCTCTTGTTAAGCGATTTATGGGCGATATAATGTACAGTGATTTTGAAAATTTGAATGTGGTCATCGACTTTTGATGCTGACTGTACAAACAAATTAGTAAAATAAGTAAAATGTCCCTTTTTTTATTTGGAAATGGGTCAGCGTTTGGTCACCATTTTGTTTGGCCTACGACGGAGCACGCCTAATCTATCCTAATCTTCTATTGTGGACTTTAACAAAAATATTTAACAATCGCATCCATATTGTATTATGGGTATTCCCAGTATCCTCTTCTAATTCATTTAATCTTTATTATTGTCAGCTCAAGTTAAGAATCAAAGTACGTCAACAAAGAAGTTTAACATAATAAAAAGAAAGGCATAGAAAAATCACGGTTGTAAAAAACAATCGTCACTGACTATGAGTCATAACTTAATAGTGCAGGCAGGTTTTTCGAGTGACGTGTTTGACACGCATTTGTTTTTTTTACATTATTATAGCGTCACTTTGTCACTAAGGTCGTAGCACGTCATAAATTGATATTATTTGAGACATCTTCTTGACGTCATTCACGTTGGACGTGGTATTATGAATCACAAGTGCTGTTACAACACAAATGCAATTACAGCTGCTGAACTTTGACCTACGTCACTAACACTTTGTCTGGCCCGGGAATCAAACCCGACCTAGAAGACCAAAGTAAAGTTTCGGAAAATATTTCTTAAAAATCTAAGAATGTACCAAATTAGGTAATAAATATATAGTTTAAATATAGGTCACTTACGGTCATTGAATTCTTCGTTGTTGACATTCATTTTTAAATTGATTAGTTTTTTTTTAATTGCACTTTTTCACTGGCACTCTTTCGAGAGACGTAGGCAAACTGAATTCCCTATAACGGAATGTCGATTTATAGATAAAAAATATCGTCGAAATATTGATAAGAAGTCTTGATAAATTGGTAAGCAGCCTTATCTTTGATATATAGTGATTGCGATGATTCACATAATGTATTATTTACGCATAAATATTTATAAAGGAGAATGTCCAAAAATACCCAGAGTCAATTAAAACCATTATAAACTATTTAATAGACCATAAGAAAGAAGTCACAAATATGCTATTCGTTTTAAAAAAAAACATAACTGAACGGGCCAGGATCCTGCAGAATGTTTTATTTTCGTATGGGCGTGTGTATGATTGTATTTTTTACTTGATTCTATACTTGTTCTAGACTATTGGAAATGATGAAGAATATAGAAATAGAATTACATTTCTTGTTGATTGTTTAGGTAGGTATTGATCCTATGATAGGCTCGAAGTGTAGGAGTAGGAACAAAAATAATAACAAAAGAAAGATGCATGTGGATATTAAAATCTAGATTTTTGTAGAATGAGAATTGAGAACCTTTTTCCACCAAGTCTACACAGTACTACCCATTACTCATTTAGGGACTTAGAAGAAAAAGGCAGCTATCTTCCAAGTGCTGACAGAGAAAGAACCACTTTAAAATAACTAATCGTGAGACATACTAAATTAAATTAAGAAAAGCTCTACTAGTTTCGAACCACAAAGGGGTTCTTCCTCATGAGCAGCGTGCGCAGTCGGGACGATATCGCGCAGCCTCTGTGGTTCGAAACTAGTAGAGCTTTTCTCAGTATATTCACGTGAGTAACCCAAGATTTTTAGTTAACCCTTTAAAAATAAAAAATCATACTATATTTGAAAATTCATTTTATTACAAGTTAACATAATTTCATAATATTCATATTTTACAATAGACATTTAACAAATTATATTCAAAACATATAATAATACTTTGTATTTCGTTGGAATATTGAGTGAAGTTTCTGTCTATAATTTTTATTTCTTGTTTGATAAAGAGGTCAACAGTAACCAATGAATAAATATTTTTTTAAAGATCTACATGTGCTATCAGTATTATTCGAACTTATATAATATACTTATTACAATATAAAAGTACTTATAATACTATATTTATACAAATATAAAGCAATCACAATTTAGCCTTTAGCCTTTAGCTATCACTTCAATGACAGATCTTCATTCATTATTGTTAAACAAAATTGTGCCTTAAGGTAAATCACACAAGGAATTCTTTCAAACTCGACACCACACTTTGTCCCATTTATTATATCTATGTGACCAGATTTTTTAAAGAAATTATACATAGTGTAATAACTTCTTTACAATACACGTATGTTTTGTTTAGTAACATTTCAGCTTTTAATGTACACAACGATTAAATCTAGGTGATTCTTTTTAAATCTGCAGGCGACCTTCGCATTTATTTTTAGGTCTCAAGCAGACAGGCCAAGGCTAGCGATGGTGCGTAGACAAACTAGAATATATCACATGTTCTTTCAGACATTAGCGTCAATCTCAAATCAACTGCAAAAGGCACTTATTAACCATCTGGCCGCGTAAAGTATATTCAGTTTAAAGTATATATACATATGAATGAAAATGCAATGAAAATGTATAAAAAGAAAAATAATAACTAACACTGACACAGACCCTCGACACAAAATATTCCATTATTGTATATTATGTACAATAATGGAATATTTTCCTACATTCCTACATATATTTAAAATAAAAGTAAACGTATTCATTTTATTAATTGATATTCATGAATTCATTGTGTAGGTATACGTCTGACAAGACGTTGTATAAAAAAACTAAGAATTGGCATTCAAAGGTCACCTTGCACGACCATTTGTGATATATTGAACCAATGTTTATACCACATTCATAAGAATAACATTTTATAATGTATATTTAATCAATAGCACCGTGGCACTATACCCTTTGAGTACCGTCATTATAGACAAAATTAAAGAACAATAGGTTGCGGTCACCGGTGTCCTCGCGGTGTTTGACAGTTTAAACTGTCAAACACTGTATCAGTGATGCTGTAACAAACTGCATCACTCGTATCTAAGAACTCGTATTTAAGAACTGAGTTCTTAAGAACTCGTATCATTGTGATATAGTCATCGCAAATGCTGCTCATAACTATGACCTCTAAGTGTGGCTTGAAACTAATCGTAATACCTCGTACAATTACGTGAGTAAGCCATAACTAATATAATGATAGGATAGATCACAATGTATATTCGGGTTGATTTTAGTTGCTGTAGCTGCCGAGGAAAGCATTGCAGTTTGGACAGTAGTGGTCAGCATTTTGACAGCTGTCGATGCAGTATGGTAGGCATGCGCAGGGCCAGAATCTGGAAAGGAGAAAAATCATGATTAACTGCTGATGTACGATGAGTGATGAACATGAAGTCAACGAATTGGTGTCATATGATCTACTGTGAGTATACTGTGGGACTTCACCTAAACACAAAACAATAGAAAACTAATTAATAAAGTTTTTAAACCTTTGTAAGTGTTATGGGATGGGGGCTTACGAAGTCCTCCACTTCCCATTCTAGGGAACAAGTTCTTTATCAAAATGCTAGCATATACCTACAATAAATAAGTTTGATAGTCATAAACTGTCAATATTGCTTTACTGGACAAAAACATTCTTCTTATCCAGAGAAAGAAATATCATTAATCACCACAATTCCTGAAAGATTCTGAAGTAGTAATATGAAATCACATAACATCACGCCTTTTATCCCCGAAGGAGTAGGCAGAGGTGCACATTACGGCGGTTAAATGCCACTGTACAATGTAAAACCCACTTTTTACTATTTATGGTACGAGTCCCATGTAAAATACTTGTCCCGACCCGGGAATCGAACCCGAGACCCCTTGCCCGGCAGTCGCACTTGCGAATACTAGGCCAACAAGGCAGTCCTATGAAATTGAACACAGCATAATGAAATTGTATTATATTTTAATATGACCTTGTAAGTTGTTACATAGATACTAACTTTGAAACTAGCAAAAAGACAATAGAAAAACTATACTCACAATAAACAAAGTCCAAGAGCAAACAGATGGGTTTTAGTAGAACTCATATACTGCACTCTTGTCGTTATCTCAGCATTACACGATGGACAGGTCAATGAACTTGGTTTGGGACCCATTGGCCGTGTCCCCACTAGCACTGGGATTACAGTGGGCTGTCCATGTTGGTGTTGTTGTTGTTGGAGTTCTATTCCTCCAGGTTGCAGAGGGGGGTATAGAGGAGCTGTGGGGGGAGATTGAGGTGTGTCTGTGTACGGTGGTGGCATGCCCTGCCCCTTGGCTGAAATTAAAAAAAATAGATTAGCAATAATATATAGATTACCAAAATGGACCAAGTATTGGCTGTTGGTTTACATGTCATGTTTTAGTTAGGTTGTTAATGTGAGTAATTATGTAATTATGCAAAAGAATATCGTGATCTATTCGTGTCGGGCATAAAAATACATAAAATAAATAGAGGTAGATACGAAATGCCTAAGCCATATTAGACGGACGCTTGACTAAAGTGAGAGGTTCACAGATAAATGAAATAAAATGTTGTATAACCGAATATATATGTCGTAGGATAATTTGATATTTCGAATCTTCGCGGAAATCCTAGGGGTTTTGCGAAAACGCGGATAATTAGACATAGGCGAAAAATTATCAAATCTTACTGGACAAAGTCAGGATTTTTGCGAAAATACTCGTTACTATAGTAAGATTTGATGTGCTCAACACTGATTGGCTACAATTTTGGTGGCTGGCTTCTAATTGGTTCCTAGTTTAGGTGAGAAAGAAAAATTGATTTTTATAAACCTTTTATTGAAAATTTTAGTATGTATGTTGTTTTCTACAGACAATAGGAGATCTCAGTCGTTGTAAAAAAAAAAATGATCCAATTTTAGGGTGTAATCCATAAATTGGATGAAACTGGTCGTTTAAGACGACGAAAAGATATTTAAGACGTCAACCAATCAGAGATGATCTCTTATTGAACGCGCTGACCGACCAACCAGCGTTCTTATTTCATAACAGCCAGCGTTTCGTTTCGCAATCTTACTATAGTAACGAGTATTTTCGCAAAAATCCTGACTTTGTCCAGTAAGATTTGATAATTTTTCGCCTATGTCTAATTATCCGCGTTTTCGCAAAACCCCTAGGATTTCCGCGAAGATTCGAAATATCAAATTATCCTACGACATATACATATATATTTACAATACAAAGGACTGCCTCGTTGGTCGAGTGATCGCAATTACGACTGCCGAGCAAGGGGTCTCGGGTTCGATTCCCGGGTCGGGCAAAGTATTACTGGGTTTTTAAAAAATTCTCAGTAGTAGCACGGAGTCTGGAACTGTGCCCGGTATATGGCAATAGGCTCACCCCCTATTACATGGGACTCATAACATAAATAGTGAAAAGTGGGTGTTACATTGTACAGTGGTATAATGTGCACCTCTGCCTACCCCTTCGAGGATAAAAGGCGTGATGTTATGATGTTATGTTACAAAGGAATTTCGGCGATTTTTATTACAAACCTTTTCATAGTATAAAATTTGCTACACAGATAAACCGATATACCATTTCCGCTCACATACTAACAGAGTTTCAACAATGTACACAAGACAAGAATACTAATGGCTCGATTTATATTTTAAAAAATTCTAAATTCATTATGACTAAAGCTTAACTAGCTTCTCTTAACAGTTTCGTCCGCATTCCTAGAGTAGAAACATCTACGTTATGAGTAAATCCAGACTATAATTAAACTCTCTTTGCGCAATTTCATTCATAATTTATCTGTAGTTTTTGTGTGAAGCAGTAACAAACATACATACATTTACTACCGTAAACATTTATTCACCCCTATTCTGTATCTATTCACCCCGTTTTACTAGGAAACCGCATTCAGTAATACATTTATGACTATTAGTTAATATTATATATATTACTTTTAATATTTTTTTATGCGAATATCATCCACTGCATTCTCCCGCCCTGTGAGGCGATAATGAAAAGTCTTACTGAAAAAAAACCACCCCGTTCCAATCCTACTCCTAGAACTGGAGCCGAGGCAACCAGTTAAGTCGTCCGCGGCGCCTTATCGGGCATCAGCCTTGCTGGGTCCCATCTGTGGTGGTTAGATGGCTCTTTGAGGCGCGTACGAAATGAGACGCATCGAACGTTTATAAAATTAGTAGAAATAGAATGATTAACATCGACTTTTTGTACAAACTAGTAGTATAAACTTATCATCAGAATCAATTGAAAGTAGTTTAGGTGTCTGATTATGACGCAATGAACCTGGAATTTTGACCTGTAGGTATATGAACTCGCCTCATTAATTTTATCGTTGTCTATATGACTCATATAACAATGAACCGTACTTACCATATTAACAAATTAAACAATAGTCTCACATAGTAATAAGACATTAATACATAATAGATGTGGAACCAATTGGTAAAATAAAATATAGTATGTACAGTACATTTTGTAGTGACAGTTTTGTCTGAGCCAAAGATTTATAACATTAAAAGGCCTTCTAATCCATAAAGGGATGAGCATACACAATTTAACACCCACACTTCTTTATTTATGTTTTGAATCTCATGTAGGATTGAATTTGTTGCCATACACTGGGCATAATTATTAGACATCAGATATTTTGCGCGGGAATCGAACCCGAACTCACTTAGTACCGCTCGAAAAGAGTGAATTAGTTGCTTATGGGTTAGCGTTACCATTATAGGCCGCACACTCACTGCCAGGTGACATAGAGGCAGAACGTGGACACATTTATTAAAAAAAACGACCTTGTGACCATTCGCACTAGACCATATAATAAAATAAATTAAAACATGCGATGCAGTATAATTAGCAATGAGTGTAATAAAATAAATTAAAACACATTACGTGACGAACATTTTTTTTCTATCATCAAAGATAATACAACAAAACGTGATCCAATGCAACAATCTTAAAAGAAGACAATCAGGGAACAGATATATGTACTTATATCTACAGACACATCACGTGCCCGAAGATTGACGTTTGATATCTAATCATCATTTGTTGTAAAACTATAGATATGATACGGCGTATAAGCAAACAAGGAAAAATATATCCAAATAAATAATCTATACAACACAAATCACAATATATGAGCGTCTGTGGCGCCGGTAAACCAAACTTTTTGTTCACATCTGTTACGCCTGGAAGGTCTAGACGCGCCTCTTTATTTCGTCACCGCTAATCAAAATGTATGGCATTGACTTCGGCGTTGCTTCCGCGAATTAATTCTAGTAAATACACGTGATTATTTGCAAACTAGTATGTGAAAAATAGATATAGGCATCGTTATACTGAACCTCTTTGGAATATTTGAAGATAGAACGAATAAAGTGCCGAATGATAGGCACACTTTAAAAAAAATCTGTAAAGGTAGGTATGGCTGTGACACAGTCGTATCACTACTACATAATTAAAAAAATATACAAACACTTACGGTCATTATACTCTCCAGTATTCATTTTTATTGCACTTGTTTTGATTTTATTTTCTTACAACACTATTTCACTGTTGTCCGAACGAAGTACGTAACTCAACTGAATTCTCTCGTACGATGAGTTGATTCAAGTTAAAAATAGCGCCGAAAACAGATAACGATACTAAATAACTAGATCTATCTGAAGTTGTTCAGATGTTTTTGACGTCAGGCACAACATTAATCATCAATTATTTTTTTCCTTTATTACTTATTTAATCAAATAATATTATTAACACTTGATATTTTATGACTTATTCACAAATTGTTGTGTATTGAAATTTCAACTTTATAGACAAGTACGATGTAGCATTCTTAAATGAGTTTACGCTAGTGTCGTTTACTATTATTAAAACACTAAAAACTACAGCTCGTAGCGAGTGGCGTGCGCTGACTAATTCTCCATTATAGTCGTCAATGTCGCCACCCATTTTCTAACATAATTATAAATTTATCACTATACAAATTGACCTCGATCAGGGTACATGTGTACCGGTAACCTAACACATATGCAAAGTAAACACTGCAAATATTAGATTACAAACAATTGCATGAGAATCTATTGACTATTTTATTTTTATCACGAAATAACAAATAATATTATCATCATACTTTTTATCCTCGATGCGATAAGCAGAAGTGCACATTACAGTACTTAATGCCTCTGTACAATGTAATACCCACTTTTCACTATTTATGTTATGAGTCCCATGTAATAGGCGGTGAGCCGATTGTCATATACCGGGCACAATTCCTGACTCCGTGCTACTACTGAGAATTTGTAAAAAAACCCAGTAATACTTTGCCCGACGCGGGAATCAAACCCGAGACCCGGCAGTCGCACTTGCGACCACTTAGCCAACGAGGCAGTTCAGTTATTATAAGCTTCATGAAATAAGGTGTGACCTTATTACTGTAGATTTTCCTACCTATATGGCACATTTCTATGTAGCCACCCAACAACGCTTTGCCGCGCCCAGAAATTGGCCGTCCACAAACGAGCGTTATATACTTTTTTTTTTAACACTTTATGTACAACTGTATACAATGGCGGACTTAATGCCGAATGGCATTCTCTACCAGCCAACCATAGGGTGATGCAGAGAAGTGTTACAGTAGGTTTTAAAAAAAGTTTGCATCTATCGAAAAAAAAAATATATACCTCTATAGTAGATTCTGTCCACCACTTGAAAAATATCTAGTTCAGAGAAGTTCAAGGGTTTGATGTAATGTAAACTAACTGTTAAGGTACGTTTTTAATAGCGCGACATTCGCCACTTCGTGTGTCTCGTAATACTACTCATAATATTAATGAACTTCTAGTTTGGTTTGAAACTAGTCGAGTTCCTCTTTCAAATTTGGTAAGTAAAGAATAAACAAATACATTTAATATTATTGACTATCTAAGAACATAATATTACCATTAAAACTAACGCATTATCTTGAAATAATCAGCGATTATAAACTTAGTATTAATTTTATCGTTTACATATCTTATTTAGTCAGAATTCTAGGGTTACATTGTTTACATCTTAACACAGACTTGATAAAGGCGTGTACCGTCGCCAGCAGTTCAAGCCATCCTTTTCCGTCAATTTCTTTATAACAATTCCAACTTTATGGTATTGATATAATGTAGAAAGTCCTATGAATAAACTTTGCAGATTTGAGTAGGTTAATTTGCTGATGACTTACCTACTAGAGACATCCTGAGGAATATACAAATAGGAACACTTTGAATCTCAAACATCTCTAAATGGAAAGTGGGGTTGTTTCATGATTTTTATCATATTTGATGGGCCAACGTTTGACCACTATCTCGCCTGATGGTAAGCGATGATAATTCGATATGGCGTCGAAAACTTTAAGCATTGACAAGCATAACTATCATTTGACAAAAGTTGTCTATATTAATGTCTGAAAACAAAAAATATCTTTATTATGCTTTATAATTTACATCAATGTTTTGTGCAAAATTATAATTTATGGAAAATGTGGTGATCTGGTCTCCTGGTGGTCCAGGAGACGAAATTATTCTTTACTCCAATTACATTAAATTTTAACAGGAATGGCTAATTTCTTCACTATGTTTTAGTACGTTATTTTATTACATCATTCATCCATTGTTAGGGTCAACCAAATAAAACAAAATGATATACTTATAAATCTTATTATTTGTATTAAATTGTAGATGGGTAGTTTTATTACAATAAAAACACAAAATATTATATGAACATTACAAACACATATTAAATACTAACACACAGGTCGTTAAAACACATAGACTTTTGTACAGACCTATAAAATGGTTGGGGGACTTCCACCCATGAAGCCGTAGGCCTTTATTTATGCGGGTATATACTTAACTTACCCGCATAAATTATATCATGCATAATTTCATAATAAATAATACATTTTAGTTCACATAACAACAATGCTTAATGTAGTGTCATGTGTCCTTCAAAAGTTTTAAACCATCTTCTCAGTAATTGAGAAAATGGCGTTGATATATATATATATGATATAGTATCAACTCGACAGGAAAGAGTAATAATGTTCAAATTATTATCATATCTATACAATAGTTTATCGTTAACTTTAAAGAGGAAATTTAAAAGAAATTGCCGAAATATATTAATTCATCGTAGTTTTCCATGGAAAAGTACGTAATCGATGAATTGTTGGCTCATGAGGTCATGTTGGCAAAATAGTAACAACGAGATAAGATTACGTTTGTTAACGCTTATCACATTGTCTTCAACATTAAGTTGCTTGTAAGAAACCAATACACAATTTTCTTTTAAATTAATGGTTGTAGCTGCCGATGTATGCGCTGCAGTTTGGACAGTAGTGGTCAGCATTCTGGCAACTGTCCACACAGTAGGGCACGCAGACACAGGGGCAACATCTGAAAATAACAAAACATACGTTTTTAAAAAGGCTCCTAACAGTACTATGACGAGCTAGAAAAATAAACCTAACTCTGCTATCCATAATGATTAAAATTAAATAAACGATTTGATTCTTACAGAACTATCTGTGTACTTATCCACGTGTCTGATCTTCAACCTGCCTCAATTAGGTTCATCAAAATGGAGATTGTGGCAAATCGTTTTATGTAGTGGAAGTCTATGGTTCAAAACTAGTTTGTTAAGGGATACAAACGTAAATAAAAACACAATACTCACATGAGACAAAGCAGAATTGCGAACAGATGTGTTTTGGTTGTGGACTTATGTTCTACTCTAGTGACAACCTGTTGGTTGCAAGATGGACAGGTGAATGGGGTTGGTTTGGGTCCCATGGGATGGGACACAACTACTGGGACAACCATTTGCGGTTGAGCAGGACCGCTTTGGTATCTGACTCCACCGTCTCTGGATGCTTCAGCTTCGCCTTCGTATGGTGGGGGCTGGCCTTTCTCTGTAAGCAAATAATAAGATTTTTAATCTAATTCTTTTAAAGAAATGTTGTTCATAGGTAGACTTAATGCTATAAACATTCCGTTTTATTCAAACCTTTGTGTGATAAAGTTTAGAAACTTGAAATCTTGTCGACGTGGAATAAAAAATACTATGTTCCCCTATATTGTAGACGATACATTTTCATCTTTATGCTTTTGTGATTAATGATGATATTAAACAATTTATTGTACTATACAGTATTATACATATTAATTATATATACATGACGTTATTTTTTAAGTACACTACTTTAGTAGATAGATTTAGAATAAGGACGTATAAATCACTTAACTGAAGGCTAGATATTAAAGATACGAGTAGTGTTATCTCTTCTCTGGTACTTGTAGGTACTGTTAGTAAATTGTCAAACTCTTTATTTCATATGGAAATATTCACTATTCAACAGTATTTTCTTTTTCACATAACATCACGGCTTTTATCCCCGAAGGGGTAGGCAGAGGTGCACATTACGGCATTTATTGCACTGTACAATGTAACACCCACTTTTCACTATAACTTAATAACACTAGTAGGGGGTGAGCCTTTTGCCATATACCGGGCAAAAGATTAGACTCCGTGCTACTACTGAGATTTGGGTGTATACACCCAGTGCTTTGCCTGACCCGGGAATCGAACCCGCGACCCCTTGCCCGTCAGTCGCACTTACAATCACTCGACCAATGAGGCAGTCGGTTTTTTTTTCATATAAGTATAATATGATTGATTGCTGATTGATTTATTCATGTTGATTTCCGTATAAACAATTTAACAGAGTCTTAAGTCTTTAACTTAGTCTTGTATCTTAAAATGAAATATATTTTCAAAGAAACATTTTAATTTCCGATTCATAAAATATTTGTTCATTATTTATCGATGGTAGCTTTGGCGTTGGACACGCCCTTTAGAGATTAGAAGTATTCACATAACTCATAAAAAATGGGCGCGTGTACTGTTGGCAAACACCTTTGTGAACAAATCAATATTAATTGGACATTGATTTCAATTTATTAAAAATAATACAGTTCCTACAATCAGGTAAAAGAAATAAATGCTTAATTTCTTTCGAATCTTGATTGAGAACAATATTTTTTTAATAGATGTTTAACAAAAGAATTAAATACGAAATTATCGATATCCATAACGAGCATATTTGGTTACATTTACCATTCTATACCTTCATATCTATTATTAATTAGACCAGATTAAATCACAGAAAATCCGCGTAATCCGTTATTTACTTACAGACAGAAAATCAATAAAAACAATTGTCGATAAATAAAATTAAGCACTTACGTGGGAGTTCATCGGTACTCATATTGACACTTTATTTAAATTTGACTTTTTTAACACAAATTACCACCTTAGACTAGGTTAGTACCCAAGGGAGTTGATTGTACTGAACTGTGATCGGCAAAGCGTCGATTTATAGATAAAATAAACAGCGAATTCAGATACCGGGTTCAGATAAGCAGTTTTATCAATTTTAAGCTCAACACTTTTGATAGGGACATACATACTTATATGAAATCATGATTCACAACTAGGACACGTCAAATATTAATTATCAAATTTATCATTCTTTCCCTTTTGGGGAAACCCTTAAAATACAATATATAAGTACATTAGTTAAAAGAAAAACATAATTAATGTCAAAGAGATATATTTTTGCAAAACCCATACTGTGGGTCCTTTTATGATATCAATTTTATTATTTTGATAAGCGCTAATCGCCAAATGATTCGATCTTTAGAAATAAGTGATATTGTAATTCCAACAGGTGTAGACATGTGATAATTCGGAAGTTAAGGAAAAATAGGTTCAATAACCGTGACTGATAAAAATTATTCGTTTGTAATTCTCGGTGTGAGTTTTCAAAATTTTTCCTTGTTTTTTCGCATCTCCGATTTAGTTTTGTTTTTGTTTTAATGGTACTAGATACTCTTCCATTTCATCGCGAATTAATTTATTTTAAAAAATCGTGCTGTAGGGCTATAACACAGTTGATTCATCGACCATGGTACAACGATAGGTTCGCAACTAAATTAAATAGAATAGTAATAACACCACTGGCTAAATGCAACAAATGTTTCACAGCTTACCTCCTACACGTAGGATACGTAGGTACATTTCTACACTATCCAAAGGCGGAGAATGTAAGCACTGAGTCCACCTGCACTCGCGTCCTGCCCTATTCCGGGCCATGATGCAGAGCGAAGAGGACTGGGACGCCGAGCGCCGTCTCCTCCTTTTGCGAAGTAGTCATGCTAGCCAAGGAGAAGCGCTGCCTCGTCACAACCCAGCCGTCGCGAAGGACACTCCGGGCGTCGGGGATCGCGGGACGATCTCCGGCCGCATTTAGCACGGGCCTGCTACCCATGCTCGCCGCCCGACCAGAACCAGACCCGTGCGTCGCGCCTCAAAGAGCCATCAAACCACCACGGATGGGGCCCAATAGGGCTGAGTGGAGCTGCGGAGGACTTAACGGGTTGCCGGAGCTCCGGCTCGAAGGGCAGGAGTAAGAACGGGGTGGTTTTTAGTTAGTAGGAGTCTGACACTAAGGTAGGAGAAGTAAGGCGATGGTTTTCCTTCCTTAAAAAAACCTGCATGCTAGCATATTATCTAATATGTTCAAAATAAATCAATATTTTTGCGTTAGCCCATACCAGGATTCCTCCTATGGCGTAGGTACGTTTACAAGCATAAAAGTTGATATACACATGACACCTAGACCCGAAACAACTTGTGGATCACACAAAGTGTTGCTCCCGCTCCCGAACCCGCTATAGGTTGCCCAGCGACCGCGGCAATCGTGTAATCAAATCATCCCATGTTATCATTTTGAATATCAGCCAAGAAACGGTTACAAGCATCGAACATTTTTAAACTGAGAACTTAAAAAAATATGTAAACTAGAGCTATTTACATAAGGTAAGTACCCATGTAAATATTGACTGGACATCCTTCTTATCTCTTCATGTAGTTTACATTGCGTGTTAGATAACGGACTTGTTGAAAAAAACACGTGCCTTAACAGAGGTAATATTTGAAATTCTCACCCAGTTTGTGATTTACAAAAAAATTGCACGGAAATTCCTTACTTTGCTGAAGCGTTTTGCACACAGAAATACAAACTTACGTAGAAACGTTGTGTTTCAACGTGTGAGTGAGAATTGTTGTGTTTCAACGTGTGAGTGAGGATTATGGAATAGGAGAGGGGGGGCCTCTCCTATTCCATGAATCCCAATAATCCTCAAATGCCTAATCCCAAAAGGCCGGTAACGCACTTGTAACGTCTCTGATGTTCCAGGTGTCCATGGGCGACGCCGATTGCTTACCATCAGTTGATCCATCTGCTCGTTTACCGGCTCACCCCATAAAAAGGCCTATTATTTATTTTGTATTTGTTGACGTTTCAACAGTACCAAATTATGGATTTTATTAAAATAAATGCTTTTTGAATTTCAAAAAAAAAAGACGTTGCCCCATATTTGGATTTTCTCCTGTGTCGTGGGTGCGTTTACAAACATACATACACAATGACACCCAGACCCGAAACAACAATTTGTGGATCACACAATTTCTTTCTTTTTTTTACTTTTAACACTTATCTAATTCTTTTACACCTCATTTCGTTAATTTTGTGTTAGGTCTGTGGTCACGTGGATTATCAAACTAATAAGATAATTGATAAAAAATGTGCGCACCTATTGGTAGGTTTGGTTTAATCTTTTATTTTCAGTAAATATTTGCAAGATAAAGACATTCCTATTAATTACTTTATGTAGGTACATATTGCCTAAATACATACTGAAACGCTAATCAATTTTATGTAGCGCTTAACTATAGTTCTGTCACTACAAATTCTTTGTCAAATGACAGGGATTTTTTTTTAAAGAAGGAAAATTATCGTTTAACTTCTCCCGCCTAGGTGAGGCCGGAGGGAGTGTCGGACTCTTACTGACTAAAAACCACCCCGTTCCTACTCCTGCACTTCGAGCCGGAGCCCCGGTAACCCGTTAAGTTCTCCGCGGCTCCGTATCGGCATCAGCCCTATTGGGCCCCATCTGTGGTGGTCTGATTGCTCTTTGAGGCGCACGCGGAACGCGACGCGCCGTAAGCTCGAGTCTGGTTCTGGTCGGGCGGCAAGCCACCCAAGCACGCCGTCTGCAGGCCCGCGCTTACGGTGGCCGGAGATCGTCTCGCGATCCCCGACATCCGGACTGTCCTTCGTGATGGCAGGGTTGGGCACGATGTTTAAGTACAACTTAAATATGAGTAGCCTTTCAGTACTTAGGGCGTAAGAATATAGCGCAATACTTATATTTGATTTATAAATAAATTGAGTAATGATAGGAAATGTCTGTAATTTATTCAATTATCACTATTTATTACGTGGTTTGACTTTACCCAGGTGAAAAATTGTAATATAAAGTTCACTCCATTGCTCGACTCATAAATCTAACCTAACCCGAACAATGGGGATGATGACAGGGTATGAAAATTAAAAATATAATTAGTCCGTAAGTTAGGTAATGAAAAAATATTAGACACGTATTTTTTTATTTTGTCGTATAATAAAAAAATACTTAGATAAAACGAATCAAAGTTTAGGAGTGGGGGCTAAAACGTCATTTCTCAGTATAAAATGTACTGAGAAGTGACGTCACGCGACATTTCAAATCAATATATCTTCGAAACTATTCATTTCTGTGAGAAAATAAAAAATACGTGTCTAATGTTTTTAAATAATCTATCAGACGGACATTAAAATAAAAATTAGTCGTCTACCCTGACTGTATCTCAAACAAATACATCATGATTTCACATCATGGTGTTAGTTATAATAATTTAGAATTAGAAAATTATTATTCTACATAACATAACATAACATAACATCACGCCTTTTATCCCCGTAGGGGTAGGCAGAGGTGCACACAGAAGTAACACCCACTTTTCACTATTTATGTTATGAGTCCCATGTAATAGGCGGTGAGCTTATAGCCATATACCGAGCACATTTCCAGACTCCGTGCTACTACTGAGATTTTTGTAAAAACCCAGTAATGCTTTGCCCGACCCGGGAATCGAACCCGAGACCCCTTGCCCGGCATTCGCACTAGCGACCACTCGGTCAACGAGGCAGTTATTATTCTAGTACTTGATATATATAATTGAACTAAATTAGGCAGTAGGCAGGCTTGATGTCTGACCCCCGACCTTATTCCATCTCTGTAAGTTTCTAAAGAATTTATAATTGATAAATTGAGTGGCGTTTGAGTATTTGGACATTAATTTTGTTTTTATTTTCTTAGTATATCTTTATATATATAATTCTTCTGTGAGTGTGTATGTCACTGAACTTCTCTCAAACGACTGGACCGATTTTGTTGTGTGTGTTCAAGGGGATCTGGGAATGGTTTAGATTCACAAATCAGCCCGGCAGATGGCGCTGCAGTTGGTTTCTAGGTTATATACCTATTATTTATATACCTATATATATTTATAGGTTATATACCTATTAGTTATATACCTATTATTACAGGACAACGTCTGTCGGGTCCGCTAGTATATATATATAAACATATACGAACTCATTACGTTTACCTTTTGTCTAACAATACATTATGGGCGCCGTATCTAAGCACGGTGATATATAATATAATCTGCGGCGGTGGGGTACCTAAGATAACAACAGTTTTTTGGTGTTATTTCCTTATACCTTAATAACATGACATAACTTCACACCTATTAATTTCTAAAGGGATAGGCAGAGGTACAGATACACAATATAATTGAAATTATGCTATGAGTCGTACTCGGGAGGAAGCTACGGTCAAATGTTCGGCACAGTTCTTTAAAACCTTTAAAAACACCTAATAATTCTTTGCTTGGTCCAAGAATCAATTCCAAGAGACCTTAACATTTGCACACACGTCGGTACGACGACAGTCATTGGCAGTAATTAACATGCAATTAGCAACATTCATGGTAATATGCATTTAGTATTAACAATAAATATTTTTAACTCCATGCCTAGTATTACTATCATTGTCATTTATCAGTTTACTAATAATAATCAATTTAAATGGAAACATATTAGAACGTTTCCACATAAATAATGTTTTTCCCCGTCTATTGTGTATTATACACAATTATTCACTGTAAAAAACTATTGGTATAAATATTTATCCCAATTATCAAATCGAGGGTTTTTTTAATATTACTTTATATTTTTTTAGAAAACGTTGCTCTGTTGGATTTTCTCCTGTGTTGTGGGTGCGTTTACAAACATACAAGTTCACATACACATTACACCCAGACCCGGAACAACAATTTGTGGATCACACAGTTATTTTTTTTTTTTGATGCTATGACACTCCGGAGTTACAGACAAGCTAAAAGGGTTACCGGGCTCCAGCTCAATGAAGAAGTAGGACAGGGGAAAAACACTGGATCATTTTCCTCCTCGACAAAAAGTTATTACCCTTCTGGTAGGTATTCAATTTTGCAATTGGGGAAACAGTCACTTGCTCTATTTCTACGTAGAGATTAAACGATTCGTCATCATATTAAGCAAAGTCATGCATTGCTTAAGAGTCGTCTCCCTGTCTCCCTCAATAACTATCAAACCGTCTGGTTGAAAGCTTACCATTTCAAATCAATAAATAAAATAAAACATCATTATTTATTAAACACTCATTCTTTATTTATCACACTTGAAATCGATAATAACAAATCTTAATCGATTAAAAGATTTATCGATTCTCATTCGCTGACGGTGGAACTTGCATTGTACAATCATCGTTCAATCAAATCATTTGTAAGTACCTGAGCCGTATTGCCCCGTTCTTACGATTTGATTACCAAAACCAAATTGTTTCTCCATTTTTTTCGATAAAGGATCCCTTTATCAAATTTGTAGTACTAATGGGTGTAGGTACCAATGTAGGTGTCGCAGTTTGGACAGTAGTGGTCTGTGTTTCGACAGCTTGCTGAACAATATACGCAGCACGCACAAGGCCAGCATCTATGAAAAGAAGAGCAATGATTAGAAAAATATTGATAAAGATAATTATGTAAAACTATGAATAGCTTTTATTTAAATTAAAAGAGAAAAAACCTGGCTGATCAAAAAAAAAATCTAAGTATAAGAGCCAAACCAAGATATGTAGGTAACTTGACTTCACTCATATTTTAATAGTAAAGGCTAGAAATTCAAACGATAGTGATTGCAAAAATTATATGGAATTGACGTAAATTTTGACACTTGTCAGTGTCATCCCCATACATTTTGATTTCCACTCTCTCTGTAGACAAGCGCTAAAGTGGCTTTTGGCTAAAGGCTCTGGTCTGATGCAGAAGAAAAATTAATAAGTACAAAGATACTTACAGCAACAAGCAACATAGACCAGCAATCAAATAGGTGTTAGTAGTAGGTTTGTATTCAACTCTTGTGTAGATCTGTTTGTTACAGGACTTGCAGATCATGGACACTGCCTCTGGTCCAACATTGTCAGGTATTGACACTGAGATCGGGATTGGGCTGACTTGTGGCTGTTGGATTATTACTGGAACGGGTGCTGGTACTGCGACGGGTACTGGCTGAGCCACTGGAGGTGGAGGTGTGACAAACTCTGTGTATGGTGGTGGCCTACCCAAACCCTTAGCTGTAATAGATATGATAAGTGAATTAATACTTGACAAGTTTCTAAGTGTGGGTCATGCTTCGGCACGAATGGGCGGTCTCGACCGAAGTGATACCACGGCCTCACAGAAGACCGACGTGAAACAACACTTGCGTTGTGTTTCGCGACTTCATATTAAGTAACGTAAGTTCAGCAGTCGAATATAAGTTATTAAAGGTTTGCTATATACAGTCATACACAAGATACATTTCGTTCTTTTAAAGTTAAATTACGTCACGATTATCAGTCGGAAATGACAATAGGTAATTACAAAAGACGTCACAATACAAAAAGCATTATGGCTGCCGTACGCACGTGTACGATATGATACACTTGTATGACTAGACGAGCCTGTTAATAAAAATTCACGAAACAGATACTCCTTTAACATTATGGGAGAAAAATATAAATTAACAATTATGCAATACAATAAAGTCAAGGATGAAAAAACAATGATAAAAGGAAAAGTCTAAAATTGACGGTCAAACTACTGATAAGATTGGACAACTGTCTAAGTTATATCACTCGTGATCGTTAATGACGTACAAAATATTGTACTTACGGTCATGCAATTGTTCCTGGTTTTCGAGCATTTCGTTGGAATTCATATTATAATTTTTTTTATTCTCTTTTATCACCAAATTCACTGTAACTTTGTTTGCGCTCAACGCTAAATATAGTACTGGACTCGTATCGATGAACACTCGATATATACTTGATAAGATGCCGTCGCGCACTGAACAGATATCGACACTAATGCCGAGTTTATCATTATTTAGGAAAACCTATTAAAAACAATTGCTTTCCCTTTACATCATAATGATCATAAAGCGGCAAGCTTAAAGTGGAACTGGGCTGATCATGTCTACGTGTCAGACGGCAAAAACTTTTTAAATACAAGCTTTGATTCACCTTGGCATTTATGGTCATACAAATTAAAAGTTTAGACAAAATTTCAGCTCAATCGGTTCAAAGTATCAGCTTCAAAATTTAGTTCCGAGATTCCACTTCACACATACATACAATACATTGCAAAATAAAGCTTGTTAAATATACCTACATGCATGCATCTACATGGAAAAGACAATAGACAATTTTCCCCATCAAATAAAAAGTTATGATACTTGTGTAACATGTAAGTGTGGGAGAGCCATGCTTTGGCACAAATGGGCTGGCTCGACCGGAGTAATACCACGGCCTCACAGGAAATCGACGTAAAACAACGCTTGCGTTGTGTTTCGTCGTGTGAGTGAGGTTACCGGAGGCCCAATTACTCCCCTCCCTAGTCCCCGTCTCCCGAACCCCCGAATCTTCTACAATGCTCTAATATCCAATTCCCAAAAGGTCGGTAACACACTTGTAACGCCTTAGTATTTCGAGTGTCTATGGGCAGCGCCGATTGCTTATTATCAGGTGATCCGTCTGCTCGTTGACCGGCTTATGCTATAAAAAAAAATGTTTTTATACCGCATTTTTAATATACAATTTTGCAATTGACGAAATAGAGTCACTTGACCTATATTCTTATTATATTTTTGTTTATTATACGTAGTAAGCAAACGATTCTTCATCATATTAAGCAAAGTAATGCATTGCTCAACATAGGACTCCCTCGTTGCCTATCAAACGGTCTGGTTGAACGCTTACCATTTTAAATCAAGAATAAAATAAAACACATAATTATTTATTAAACACTCATTCTTTATTTATCACAGTTACTGTTGCAGTCGATAATAACAGATCTTAATCGACTAAAAGACTTATCGACTCTCATTCGCTGATGATAGAACTTGCATCGTTCAATCAAATCATTTGTAAGTACCTGAGCCATATTGCCCCGTTCTTACGATTTGATTACCAAAACCAAATTTCCAATTTTTTTTTTGGATAAATTTTACAAAATTTAAATGCTAATGGGTGCACCTATATCAATTGACACGTACCAATGTGGACGTCGCAGTTTGGACAGTAGTGGTCTATCTTCCGACAGAGTGGTGAACGGTATAAGTAGCACGCACAAGGCCAGCACCTATATAGAGAAGACCTATGATTAGATTATTATGGTAAATGATAGGTAATTGTCTATAACAGTTAAGAAAAATATTGATATTCATGAAAATGAGCAAGACTTGCATATTTGCCAGAATGTATCAATTTTAGTAAAAGCAAGAGTTTGCATAACTTAACACCGAAAAATTCTGGCTTATCAAAATAAATAATACTGAATAGAAGAGCTAATCCCTGACCAAACCAAGATAACTTTACTTATATTTTAACACTAGCTACTCCCACGCGGTTTCACACGCTTTGCTCAGCTCCTATTGATCGTAGCATGATGTTTTATAGCCTATAGCCATCCTCGATAAATGCACTATTCAACACAAAAAGAATTATTCAAATCAGACTTATAGTTACGGAGATTAGGGCGTTCAAACAAACAAACAAACTCTTCCGCTTTATATAATAGTATAAGAGTATAAGATTTAATAGAGATAAAATGAACTGTAGGTATCTAGTTCGATCAAATAGAGGAGAAAAATATATAAAAAGATACTAACAGCAACAAGCAACATAGACCAGCAATTAAAAAGGTATTAGTAGTTGTTTTGCTTTCAATTCTTGTAAAGATCTGTTTGTTGCAGGACTTGCAGATCATGCACTCTGCCTCAGGTCCAATTTTGTCAGGTATAGACGCTGAGGTCGGGATTGAACTGCCTTGTGGCTGTTGGACTATTACTGGATCAGGTGTTGGCACTGCAACCGGCACTGGCTCGTCCACTGGAGCTGAAGGTGTAGCAAACTCTGTGTATGGTGGTGGTGTACCCAAACCCTTAGCTGTAATAGAAATGATAAATGAATTAAATAATTTTCATATAAATAATTAACTTTTTATCTCCGAAGGGGTACGCAGAGGTGCACATTACGGCAGTTACTGCCACTGTACAATGTAACACCCACTTTTCACTATGTATGTTATGAGTCCCATGTAATAGGGAGGTGAGCCTATTGCCACATACCGAGCACAATTGCAGACTCAGTACTACTACTGAAAAATTTTAAATAACCTAGTAGTACTTTGCCCGATCCGGGAATCGAACCGGAGACCTCTTGCCTGGCAGTTGCACTAGCGACCACTCGGCCAACGAGGCTGTTAAAAAATAAATGAATTAATGCTATAAAGAAAGTAAAGGCAGAGTAGATACTTATTTGAGCGGCAAAAAGTTTAAGTTTGATGACGACAGACCGAATATATCGGCCTACTCTTCGTGGGGGTTTCATATGAGCCGGTTACGTGACGATATATTTAACTAAAACCAGCAGTTTAGCAGCACTCTCTGATTAACCGGACCTCTCCGAAGCGTGGACATTACAGAAAATCCCTGTTTTATAGAGGATCGTCATAGTTCGGCAGTACACTCTCAGTCATACGCCCTTATACTGAAAGGCTACTCCATTAAAAGTTGTACTAAGTATCGTGCCATCTCTGTTTTCCAAGTTTTCTAAGTTATGAATGGTAATGACATACAAAATATTGTACTTACGGTCAAACAATAGTTCCTGGTCTTCGAACATTTCGTTGGAATTCATATTATAATATTATAATTATTTTTATTCTCTTTTATCACCAAATTCACTGTAACTTTGTGCTTAACGCTAAAGATAGTACTGGACTTGCGTCGATTTATACTTAACAAAATGCCGTCGAACACTGACCAAATATCGGTACTAATATTATAAAATTAAATAATATTATCGTACCCAGTTAATCATTATTTAGGAAAAACTATTAAAACTATTGTTTTCCCTGTACCAAATGGGTCAATTTATCCTCTAATTGAAGTATATAATATCTAAAAATTAGAATATAGATAATTCGTAATGTAACAATAATTTAACCATTACACATACTTAGGGCTGATTATTCAGCAAGGTAGGTCCAACTTCGACAAAGAGGTTACCCGAAGAATCCAACTCGGATGGGCAGCGTTCGGGAAGTTACGCGAAATCTTCTCATCGAAAATCCCTCAGTGCCTGAAGACCAGGATGTTTATCCAGTGTGTGTTGCCGGTGATGACGTATGGTACCGAAATGCGATCCCTGACCTCTGGCCTTCTGGAGAAGCTCAAAGTCGCTCAGCACAGATGGAGAGAGCTATGCTCAGGGTTTCATAACGCGACCAAATCCGAAATATGGAAGTTCGCCAAAGAATTGGAGTTACCGAAATAACTCGCAAAATCTGCAGACTGAAGTGGGAATGGGCAGGGCACGCCGCTCGACAGAGTGACGGCAGATGGGCCGGGAAAGTCCTTGAGTAGAGACCACGGACCGGAAGACGAAGCGTGGGTCGGCCTTCCGCTAGGTGACGGCATCTCTAGAGTTGCGGGGAGCCAGTGGATGCAGGTGGCGAGTTATCGTTCGACGTGGAGGACCAAGGGGGAGGCCTTTGTCCAGCAGTGGACGTCTTTGGGCTGTTGATGATGATGATGATGATGATGAATAATTTAACAATAGATATTATGTTATGAAATAAAAATAATCACAAAAAGTATGTACACGTAACTCCCGAATTGCTAAACCAAATCAAAGCTATCACAAGTGAGCTTACCGCCAGAATCACTAGTGTAATGAGAGATATCTTGTCAAATAAACTATTTGCTGATTTTTTTTCATTTACATTTCATTTTTGATAGCTACTTTGGTGCCAATTAAATTAATATTTTTGTCGTATAGACATTAGACATGGTTTGTAGGAAAAAAATCGAAACATTCACAGCCATAGTGGATGTAATTTGATAGCATTCGCCATTGAAACTATTGTAGGAAAAGTCATCCTTTTACAATCAACCATTTAATATTTGCCTTGTATGAATGTCAAACAAAATTACACTTATAATAGGTACCTACCTACGTACGATTTAGCGATTATTTACAGTGTCGTTTTTATCACATATAGGACACACCTCCAGTCAATAGTACCCATGTATTCACGTTATCAATTTGCACTATAGACAGGTGTTCCAATACATAAATATTTCATTATACACAGTTTTATTTATCTAATATATATTTATTTTATTCTATTTTAAATACTTTCGAGTCATCAGTAAACCCTTTTTCACATCCTTGTTGTTGTTGATTGAACATCTTTGACTTATTGAGTCATTTGAATAAGATATTAATTTATACTAAATACTTCTTAAATACAAGCTTTGATGCAGCTTGGCATTTACGGTCATGCAAACTAAAAGTGTAGACAATATTTCAGCTCAATCGGTTGAAAGTATCTGTTTCAAAATTAAGTTGCAAGCTTCACTTCACACCCACACACACACACACACACATAAACATACAATACTTTGCAAGTTCGATTAAAGCTTGTTAAATATACTAGACTATACAATTAACTAATAAATTGTATAGTATAGCTCCAGTCTATTATATTTATATATTATAGCTAGGTCTATGGCGGCCAAGCTTTTAACGTTTTATTTTGGTTTTAGAGTGCCGTTAATTATTAGAGTGTATATTTTTTTAATGCTTACAAAATCAATTGGATTTTGGAAGGCAGTCTGATGCATTTGGATCGCATTACACATCAAGTCTGGTTGTCAGATTGGTTAACGGGCGTGCCCGCTGAGGTGGTAGCCATTAGCCGTTTAGCCAGGTTTAGCCCATTAGGCTCTTAGCCTATTGGCCATTCGTTCGTCACACGGTCGATGGTCCAAATTTTCGATAACGCTGATTATTGAGGTTCTATGTTGTTAATATGCCAAATTTTAATTTCATCATTTAGCTCTTGAACTGTTTCTGGCATATTGACATACACTTTTTCCTCCAAGTAACCCCAAAGAAAGGAGGTAACGGTGTCAACTCAAGTGTTTTGGCGCCCAATTGATATCGCCTGAACGTGAGATTATTCAGCGATCAAATTTAAATGAAATGGCCGCTGAAAATGGAGAAGCGGGACCCCGCATGTTACTCATGAGGGAAAGTCCCTCTGTGACTCGAAACTAGTAGGCTTTTATCAGTACATTCACGTAAGTAACCCGTCATTTTTAGTTCATCATCATCAACAATATAATAAGTGGGCCCACTGCTGAGCAAAGCCTCTTCTCACATGCTTGCTCATTGCAGGTTGGAGTTTTCAAACCTTCACCGTTTGTCAGTAGTGTTCAAATAATCTTAGAAAGTACATATAACTCGGAAAAAGTCACAATATGACTTTACTTGCCTTTGGTAGGTTTTGAACCCTCACCCTCATGCATGAGAAGCGGGCGTCTTAACCTCCGGGCCACCATGATAAACATTTTAGTTAATGATTGATAAATAAAAACTTCTATCGTTTTCAAAATAATATATTGTGTTTAATGTGATTAAGTGGACAGTATCTGGATTAAGTGCCCTACGTGTATATGTTACACGATAAAAGTACGTCCGTGATAACAAGATAAGATTCTGACTCATTCACAATGGATATAATACATAATAAATGAGTCACCCTGTATATGCTGACTCACTTAATCCTGCAAATATGTAGATTCCAAGTGCGTATTATTTTGATCATATCGTTATTTTGGATTTTATTATTGAAATTTGTAAAATGATATGTATCTGTGAGTACATCATGAGTATAATAATATCCGGTAGTAGCCGGTTATACATGTGTTGTTATAGGATTTATAGAAATATACATACCTACAATACGTTTTTGTAATTGGGCCTCCGGTAATCTCACTCACACGACGAAACACAACGCAAGCGTTGTTTCACGTCGGTTTTTTGTAAGGTCGTGGTATCACTCCGGTCGAGCCGGTCCATTCGTGCCGAAGCATGACTCTCCCACACTTAAAAGTTTTAACACATTAGATTTTGAGTTTATATTTAAATGATAACTTAATTGTTGGGTTAGAGGTGTGCTTATTAGATGTTAAGCACATCAGCACTCAGGCTCAATTGTTAACTTATCTTATATCTGTCTCAAACGATTAGGACTAGCCGTAATCATGAAGTCTGTTTGTCCATAAGAATAGAGTATTCTTCATACTCTTTAATAATACCTCGTCCTGAAATAAGAAAATTTGACCCAGTCTGAAACTACACCAAACGTACGTAAGTTTTAAAAAGCTTATTATAATATTAGTTCTAACTACATAATAAATATGTTAGATGAATCACATATCACACATACCATCCATCTGCTAACGCAATCTACATAATCTCATCAAAATCATTTCGTTCATACAAATATACCTTTCTCTCTTTCTCTATCCCTATCCTACTCTAACATATAACCAACGTCCCCTGAAATAACTTTGTAGTAGTCAGCCAAACAGATAAGTTAATCTTGATGGAAAAGCTTTTTGACTAATGGCTGAACACGCAAGCGCTGTGCCTACCAATCCATCACTTATAGAGAAACTTACGAGGCCCTTTATCCTTACGAATCGTTACTTTGTTTTAGTAATCACTAAATTAGGAAATCTTTTGTTAGTTCTTTTGGGTTTTAAGACACTTTTGGTTTTTATTTCTAGCGTGTTGCAAATGCAACAAGAAAGAACTGTGGAAAAGGTTGTAATGCATGTTGATAGTAAGTTAAGTGTCGGAGAGCCATGCTTCGGGACGAATGATACGGCTTCACAGCAAACCGACGTGAAACAACGCTACCGTTGTTTATCTCGTGTGAGTGAGGTTACAGGAGGCCCAATTACCTCCGATTCCTCAATCTCCTGAATCTCTGAATCCCCAACAGTCCTCAAATTTCTAATACCCAAGGGCCAGTAACGCACTTGTAACGCCTCTAGTGGTATACCTATCCAGGTATTCATGGGTGACGCCGATTGCTTACCATCAGGTGATCCATCTGTTCTTTTACCGGTTTATCCCATAAAAAAGTAGCTGAAATCTTATAGGATCTTTTTGTTTTCGAAATGGATGAAAATACTTTTGATCCTACCTTTATCATTTATCCAGTGGCCAAAGGATTTGGTCAAGCAGTTTTGCTTATATACCTGTGACTATTCATCTAACTAGCAAAACGTGTTATTAAAAGTGTACCTCTATTTTTTCTCTTCGGAGACTAACTAAATCATTCTAAGCATTCTATACTCAACAAAGCCACTTGAGACAAACAGACAAACGATCGTACTTCGTTAAATTACAAATAATTCAATATCAGTCTATTTCTAATGCAGTCCACGTCCTACTAGGATTGCAGAAACGGGGTACAATCAACGGATATAATTTTGTCAACGACCGTGCAATTACCTAAATAGATTGTATGGGACCGAAGGATGTCTTCTTATTTAAATACATTTCCATTTTGAATTTGGTTTTGGGATCACTTTGAATTAGGATCATTCGTCCTTTGTTTTATTTGTTCAAAACTAATAAGTTTGTTTAGTGTCCTTTATAACACTTTATAATATAATATGCTGTCCCTATTTTTAGCCCGTCAGCATATTTTTTGTTTCAGTTAACACGTCGCAAGTCCCGCATAAAGTAATGCAGAAGTTTTTATAATAACTATTCTAAGACATACTAAATTAAATAAAAATCGCGGGTTACTCACGTGAATATACTGAGACAAGCTATGCTAACTAGATATAGTTTCAAAACTAGTAGAGCTTTTCTCAGTATATTCACGTGAGTAAACCGCGAAGATATTTATTTTCAAAATACTGACCCAGAATATAAAATTGCTCTTT